GATCCATTAAGAAGACAAAGCAGCCGGGTATGGTGGCTCAGGCCTGTAACCCCAGCACTTTGGGAGGCCAAGGCAGGTGGATCACTTGAGGTCAGGAGTTCAAGATCAGCCTGGCTAACATGGTGAAACCCCATCTCTACCGAAAATACAAAAAATTAGCCGGGTGTGGTGGTGCATGCTTGTAATTCTAGCTACTCAAGAGGCTGAGACAGGAGAACCACTTGAAACCCGGGAGGCGAAGGTTGCAGTGAGCCGAGATTGTGCCACTGCACTCCAGCCTAGGCAACAGAGTGAGACTTCATCTCAAAAAAGGAAAAGAGAAAGGCTGTGATCCCCAACACACCCATTCATGCTTGTTCCTCTTTTGCTTATGACCTCTCTGCTTTTATTTACACTTGTTTCAGTCTTCATGTGGACCATTCTTTTCTTGGCTCTTTGGGGGCAAAATTATTTTCCTTCTTGCTGTGTATAGTGCTCAAACTCTGCCACGAGCGTGAAGGAGGAAGATATCAGTGCATGAGGGGTCAGAACACACTGTTTGCCAGTTTTCTCAGAGATATAAGTGAGAGGGAAGATGTTTTTCGGTAGCATTTTGCATAATTCCCAACTTCTGTTGGTTGTACCGTTAAAGCCCTAATGTGGATTGGTGTTTGTTTTCTAAAAGATTATGGGAAGAAAGGTGTTCAGCAGCCTACTCAAAAGTTTTTACTCCTATCCGCTTCTGTTGAAGAATCTGCATTACTTCCAGTCTACTTTAGCTCCTCCTGACTTCAGTCTAAAGGAGTTGTTGCTTGCACACCTGGAGTAAATGTGTGTAATTTCTGAACTGCCCGTTTTAAGATTTGATTCTAATCCTAACTCTTTTACTTGACGAATATGCCTCTCAATCATAGCTAACATTTTGGTTCTTTGCCAAACCTCTGAGGCACAGTTATGTAATCGTCATTTTTATAAAGAGGCTTGTTAGAGGTTAATTTGCAACTGTATTGTAAAGAGAGTAATAAGTCCTCTTTATCCAATCCCCTATCAACTGAGAAAGTGACTGTAAATTATGTAGGCAATCCAGTGCTTAAGAGCAAGCTTTGGAACTAGAGTTGGAGTCTGAATCTCAGCTCTGCCACTTTTTTCTTTCTTTTTTTTGAGACAGTTTCGCCGTGTCGCCCATGCTGGAGTGCAATGGCGTGATCTCGGCTCACTGCAACCTTCGCCTCCTGGGTTCAAGCTATTCTCCTCCCTCAGCCTCTTGAGTAGCTGAGATTACAGGTGCGCACCACCACGCCTGGCTAATGTTTTGTATGTTTAGTAGAGACGGAGTTTCACCATGTTGGCCAGGATGGTCTTTAACTCCTGACCTCGTGATCCGCCCACCTTGACCTCCCAAAGTGCTGGGATTACAGGCGTGAGCCACCGTGCCCTGCCACCTCTGCCACTTTCTAGCTGTGTGATCTCAGTAAAATGAGAGCACTAACAATTGCCTACTTTTTAAAATGTAAGAATTAAATAATAAAACACTTGGAACAACACCTAGCACAAAATAATATCAAATGCAGGGACATTTTCTTTGTATTCTGTTAGCCAAAGGGTTACCTTATGAAATGTATGGATGTTCGCTGGAGAAACTGGTATAATCTAGAAAGCGCTGCTTCCCCCATTTGTTTTTCTCGGTGTGTATGGAGTGCCAAAAAGTCTCAAGTAACCAACCCTTTTCTATCTCCAGGGTTCAGAGGGTTCTGGAAGTAAACAGTTCACCGTTGCCAGGAGCTGTTGAGTTGCTGCCTTGGTCTTATCTAGGGGTCTAGGCCTTCCCCGCAACGCCCGCCCTAGCTCTTGCGCGCTTCGCCCTTCCCGTCCGCACCCCGCTCCCCCTCCTCCACGCCCCACACTGTGCTTGGAATAACGGACTTAGAGGTCTGGATAATTCAAGCAGGGGACAAGGCTCGCTTATTCAAGTTCTCGCAGGATGAAACTTGGTTAGGAAGGATTTGACATGGTTTCTCCTCATCACTCGGAAAGTTATTAGGGACTTTTACTCACAGAATTGGCCTCGGGTGCCCACACTCTGTATCAAAATGGCGCTTCGGGACAAATAAGCAACGTCCGTGAGAGGGGGAAGTGATAGACCTGACTCTGGAAGCGTTACGGCTAGGCGCCAAGTTGCAAAGTTCAAATTTGCCTCGTGACCACACTGTGATAGGTGGGTACGGGGGAGCGCGGGCGGGTACACGTCAGTTCTTACCGCCCCCTAGGTCTGGGCACTATAAAAGGGCCTGCGCCTCGCATTCGTCGCAGTTGCTCGGGATTTCTGCACGCACTCCATGGACAGCTGGAGGTGAGCTGTGCCGGCCACGCCACAGGCTGCAACAGCTGGTAGGTGACCGACTGGTCAGACTGAGATGGGTGCTGAAGTGGTCCAGAAGCTAGTCCTAATTGAGCAACTTAATTAAAAGTAGGACCACAGGACCACTGTATTCCTTGGACTGTGATTGTCCATGGACGTTGGTATTTAGCCTGTGGACCAAAAGAAATGTTGTGCCTGTTTCCATATACAAAGGCCTTTGGAAGAAATTTATTGTTTGTATTTATTTCTGTTAAATTTATAGTGCCTTATACTGTTTTGGAGACAATGGGGAATGGCGGAGGCAGAGACCTTGGTGAGGCTATCTTGGTGTGCGAGTGGAGGTGACGCGGGGGAGCTGAGGTTGAGGGGATAGTCTAGGCCCTAGCGGTGGGTGGAAGAATCACTGGGAACTTCCGGTGGGAGTAGGTGTGGAGAGTGTAGGACTGAGCAGTGAAAGATCCGGTGGAATGAGGTGGGAGTAGGGGAAGCGGCAGCGTGGAGAAGTGGAGGCGCCAGTGGCGGCATTGGGAGAAGTGGGAGTGCTAGTGGCAGCACTGGGGGAGGTGGGGATGCCATTGGTGGTGTAGGAGCACATGGTGACGCCAGTGGCAGTGTTGGGAGAAGTGGGGGTGCCGGTGGTGGATGGGGAGAAGTGGGGGCATCAATGGCGGCATGGGGAGAAGTGGGGGCACCGGTATCAGTGTTGGGGGAAGTGGGGGTGCTGGTGGTGGTGTAGGAGCACGTGGTGGCAGTAATGGCATGAGAAATGGGGTTGCCAGGGGCGGCATTGGAGGTGGAGGCACTGATGGTGGCATGTGAGCACCTGGTGGCAGCAATGGCGGCACGGGGAGGAGGGGGGGCACCAGTGGCGGCATTCGGGGAGGTGGTGGAGCTGATGGCGGCATGGGAGCACGTGGTGGCAGCAATGGCGGCACGGGGAGAAGTGGGGCGGTGCCACGCCATTGGCGGCATTGGGGGAGGTGGTGGAGCTGATGGCAGCATGGGAGCATGTGGTGGCAGCAATGGCGGCGTGGGGAGTAGGGGGGCGCCAGTGGCGGCATTGGGGGAGGTGGTGGAGCTGATGGCAGCATGGGAACACGTGGCAGCAATGGCGGCACGGGGAGAAGTGGGGGGGGCGCCAGTGGCGGCATTCGGGGTGGTGGTGGAGCTGATGGTGGCATGGGAGGCATGGGAGCATGTGGTGGCAGCAATGGCGGCCTGGGCTAAGTGGGGGGGTCGCCGGTGGCGGCATTGGAGGAGGTGGTGGAGCTGATGGCCGCAGCGATGGCGGCATGGGGAGAAGTGCGGGGGTGGCATGCCATTGGTGGCATTGGGGGAGGTGGTGGAGCTGATGGCGGCAGCAATGGCGGTGTGGGGAGAAGGGGGGCACCAGTGGCGGCATTGGGGGAGGTGTTGGAGCTGATGGTGGCATGGGAGCATGTGGTAGCAGCAATGGCGGCCTGGGGAGAAGTGGAGGGGTGCTGGTGGCGGCATTGGGGGAGGTGGTGGAGCTGATGGCGTCATGGGAGCATGTGGCAGCAATGGCAGCCTGGGCTAAGTGGTGGGGGCGCCGGTGGTGGCATTGGGGGAGGTGGCGGAGCTGATGGCGGCATGAGAGCACCTGGCGGCAGCAATGGCGGAGTGGGGAGAAGTGGCAGGGAGCCAATGGCGGCATTGGGGGAGGTGGTGGAGCCGATGGCGTCATGGGAGCATGTGGCAGCAATGGCGGCCTGGGCTAAGTGGCGGGGGGGGGGGGGGCGCTGGTGGCGTAGGAGAAGGTTTGGCAGTCCTAGTGGCTGCGTGGGGGAGAAGTGGGGGTGCTGGCCGCCGGAGTGGGGGAAGTTGAGGTTCCAGTGGCTGTGTGGAAGTATGTGGTGGTGTCGGTAGCGGCGCAGGAGCACATGGTGGCGGTGGAAGTGGACTAGGAGCACATGGTGAAGCGGCCATGTTGTGGCGGAGAAAGAAGCGATGCAGCGGCGAAAGGGCGCAGGAACACGTGGTGGTGGCGGAAGCGGCCCTGCGTGGCGGAAGCGGAAACGTGGTAGTGGCGGGAGCAGTGTCCTAGGAGCACGTGGTGTTGCTGGTGGGCGTGGGGAGAAGTGGGTACCCGGTGGCAGCATTGGGGGTGCCAGTGGTGGCATAGGAGCAGATGGGGGTGCCAGTGCCAATGTTTGGGGAGGTGTGGGTGCCAGTGGCAGGGTTGGGGGAGGTGGAGGGGGCAGTGGCAGCCATGAGGGTGGGGGGAGCCAGTGGTTGTGGGTAGGGGTGTGTGTGGCGGGGGTCAAGGTCTGAGTGGTGGTGGGAGACCAGAAGTTGGATACAGGTGTGGGCGGCGTGGAAGCCTGCTTGGAAGACTGGTTGGAAGCAGTTGAAGATGGCTGGAGGTGGTTGGAGGTGCAAGTGTGGGGGAAGGGTGGTGGAATTGAGGCCTGATTGGTGGAAGACTAGATGAGCATGGTGGGGGTAGGGTCCAGACCTGATAGGAGGAGGAGGGAGTCGGGGAGGGGTCAAGGACTGATTGGTGGAAGATTGGCTGGAGGCAGGAATTGGGAGTGGGGAGGGCCTGGCCGGGTTCTTGTAAGACCAGTGAGAAGCCAGAGTGGTGGGAGTAAGGGGGCGGTGGAGGTTGGCTAGCAGGGTGAGGGGGCGGTGCAGGTTGCCTAGCAGGGTGAGGGGGTGGTGGTAGCCTGGCCTGGGTAAGACTGACAGAGTGGGGAGTAAGGAAGTGGGGGAAGGCAGGAGAGGTTGATACCTGGTAGATGGCAGACTTACTTACTTACTTAGGGTGGGAGTAAGGAGACTGAAGGTGTAGGGAGGTGGAGGGCCAGTGGGATGTGGGGGTGGTCGAGGCCTGATAGGTGGAAGCCAGGCTGGCAAGCTGAGGTGGGAGTGGAGGGGGGTGGGAAGGGATTGGAGTGGTTAAGGCCTGAGTGGGAAAGGTTTGCAACAAAAACAAATTTAAATACTTACTATTTTGCAGAGCAAAGTTTCGGCTTTAAATTAGGGTAGGGAAGACGCCCAAAGATAACTGCAGAATGTAGAGATGTCTCTGGTTTTGAGTTCTGGCTTTCTTAAGAAAGTATATCTTTGCTCTACAGACATGGACCCGTATGAAGAAGAGCTGCGCTGCTTGCAAGACCCGGTGGAGGATGAGGATTGGTGAGATTGGAAAGTTCTCTTTTCTTTTAGTTTAGTCTTACCGTATTGGCAAAACAGCTTTCTCGAGAAGTATGTTTGTTTCCTTTAGTGTCTGTGGTACATATAACTTGGTTTGTCATAAAATGAGAATCGTAAAGAAGAATTTTACAATATGGGAGTCCAGCCTCCTATGAAATTCATGAATCCACTATATAACTTCTCTGTTAGTGGGCAGGAAATAACGACATCTGAAGCGACAGTGCATCGTTGAATATATGTGGTTTCTAGAAAGTTCTTCATTCTGGTGCAATTCAAATCTGTAGTTCCACGCCAGTATTGGTAGTGCTGCCCTCTAGAGGTACACAAATTATTTTTCCTCTCCATGATAACACAAGGTGTTTTTGTTTGTTTTTAATTTTTTTTATTGAGATGCACCCTCAACCACGAAAGGTTCAGAGAGCTTCCAACATGAGGTATTTGTGTGTGAATGTGTGAGACAGGGTCTGCTCTGTCGCCCAGGTTGGAGTGCAGTGGCGTGATCAGGAGCTATTTTAAGATAGCTGCCTAAGTTTTTTCTCTTCTGGAACACTACCCTGTTTTCCTCCCTCACAGATACGCATGTAAGAGTGTAATATGGGAGAAGATACAAATCAACAGAAAGTCTGGAAATAGACTTAAGTACATATTAAAATTTACTAAAGAAAAACAACATTTCAAATCAATGGGGAAAATACGGATTGGTCAACAAACCATTTGAGGATAATTGGCAAACCATTTGGAAAAAATAAGACTTGGGTTTTTGCCTTATTAGTTCTTATGCCAATATAAATTTCACATGGATCAAATATTTTAAAATAAAAAATGAAACCATTAAAATGTTAGAAAACATAGATGGATTTTGTTTCCAATAGTTTTGGAGTAAAAAGGTCTAAGTTTGAGATCAAACAAAATATAAATATGGAGAATAAACTGAAAAATATTTGTATTACATATATAAAGGGCTGTTTAACAAAGGGCTTTTATAAATCAGTAATTTAGAAAAAGGTGAACAAACACATGAAACATGACGAATATTAGAAGGTAGCTCTCAGGGAAACAAAATACAAATGGCCTTCAGACATTAAAATTTTTTCAGCTTTGCCCTGGCACGGCGGCTAAGGCCCGTAATCCTAGCACTTTGGGAGGCAGAGGCGGGTGGATCGCTTGAGTCCAGGAGTTTGACCAGCCTGGGCAACATAGTGAAACTCTGCCTCTACAAAAAATAAAAAAAAATGAGCTGGGCATGGCGGCCACACCTGTAGTCCCAGCTACTCGGGAGGCCAAGGTGGGAAGCTTCAGTGAGCCAAGAGTGTACCACTGCATTCCAGCCTTAGCAACCCGACTGGAGACCCTGTCTCAAAAAAAAAAAAAAAAAAAAAAAAAAAAAGCCGGGCACGATGGCTCGCACCTGTAATCCCAGCACTTTGGAAGGCTGAGGCAGGCAGATCACGAGGTCAGGAGATCGAGACTGAGACCATCCGGGCTACACAGTGAAACATGGTCTCTACTAAAAATATACAGGCTGGGCAGTGGGGGGCTGAAACCTGTAATCCCAGAACTTTGGGAGGCTGAGGCGGGTGGATTGCGAGGTCAGGAGTTCAAGACCAACCTGGCCAAAATGGTGAAACCCCATCTCTACTAAAATTACAAAAATTAACTGGGCATGGTGGCGGGTACCTGTAATCCCAGCTACTTGGGAGGCTGAGGCAGAGAACTGCTTGAACCCGGGAGGTGGAAGTTGCAGTGAACCGAGATTGTGCCATTGTACTATAGCCTGGGCGACAGAGGGAGACTCCATCTCAAAAAAAATCAGCTTTTAATTATATTGCTTCTCATTAAATAATTTTAATTATATTGCTTCTCATTAAATAAATGATAAATCTTATTTTCTTGTTCTCCCACTTGGAAAAGTAAAGAAATGATAAATTTTAAAATGAGATTTCATTTCTTATAAATTTGCAAAAAGTTTGATGATTCCCAGTGTTGGCAAATTTGTGGGAAAACAGAAAATCTGCTACTCTTTGTGAGAGTATATATTTGGTACAACCTTTTTGTAGGGCAGTATGGCAGTATCACATTTTAAATGCCGATGTCCTTTGAAGTAGCAGTTCCACTACTGAGACTTTTTCTTTTAAAGCCATTTTTTCAATTTCTTTATACCTGTACTCCCATACACATAATTGTGATTATATCATACATCTAATTCAGTAATTGTAATTCGGTCTTACTTTTTCTTGACTTCCCCCCCTCCCCTTCTCCCATGGCCTTTCTCTCTGCAACCCATGCTAAATATTTATGTAGCTAGCCTTCCATACTTTTTTCCATGTTCACATAATCATATATAGACATTTACAGGTTATTTTGGTCTTTGTTCACTTTTGTGGAAGGAGTACATATCAGTATAGAGAAATATGTATACGAACATTCATTGCAGCACTGTTTGTGATAGCACAAATTTGAAAAGAGCTAAAATGTCCTAAGTGTCTAGTTGAATAAATTATGATTCATTTAAAAAATGTGGTAAGAGCTATATGTACTGATAATGGAAAGACTACTAAGAAATATAAAGTGAAAAATGCAAGCTGCAGAACAATCCATGTAGCATAATATTTGTAAAAAAGAAAAGGGGGCCGGGCGCGGTGGCTCACGCCTGTAATCCCAGCACTTTGGGAGGCCGAGGCAGGTGGATCACGAGGTCAAGAGATCGAGACCATCCTGGTCAACACGGTGAAACCCCGTCTTTACTAAAACTACAAAAAAAATTAGCTGGGCATGGTGGCGCGTGCCTGTAATCCCAGCTAGTCAGGAGGCTGGGGCAGGAGAATTGCCTGAACCCAGGAGGCGGAGGTTGCGGTGAGCCGAGATCGCGCCATTGCACTCCAGCCTGGGTAACAAGAGCGAAACTCCGTCTCAAAAAAAAAAAAAAAAGAGAAAGAAAAAAGGGTATGTGTACTTGTTCTGATGTGTACTTACACTTAACTTTCTAGAGGAATAAATAAGATACATTGTCTCTGGGAAGAACAAAGATAGAGTGCTTCTCACTGCTCTTTTCAGAGTTTTTTATCAGTTAGGAAAAAAACTACCTGGTAAACGTTATTTTGCCATAAAAATGGGGGTGGGGGATGGGGTGGCTCATGCTTGTAATCCCAGCACTTTGGGAGGCTGAGGCAGGAGGAATGCTGGAGGTTATGAGTTTGAGACCAGCCTGGGCCATTGTAGCATGACCTCTCTTTTTTTGTTTTTAAAAAAGGAGGGGGCGGGGTAGAGGGGATTAGCAAAAGAATGAAGCCAGCGTTCGAAAATATACGTCTTAACAAGTAATAAAAAGGAATGCTAATTTAAAAATCATTTACCTGTTACTAAATTTAAAATATTTAATGCCATTGTAGTAATGCTGCTGACATCATAAACTGGCAGAAGCCTTTGGAAATGATTAAGCAGATGTACCAAGAGCTATAAAATTGGTTTAGGTTTTTTTTTTTTTAGACAGTCTTGCTCTGTTGCCAAGGTTAGAGTGCAGTGGCACGATTTTGGCTCACTGCAGCCTCTGCTTCCTGGGTTCAAGTAATTTTCCTGCCTCAGCCTCCTGAGTAGCCGGGATTGCAGGCACATGCCACCATGCTTGGCTAATACGTTTTTTATTCCTGTATTTTTTTATCTTGTATTTTTAGTAGAGACAGGATTTCACCATGTTGGCCAGGCTGATTCTGACCTCCTTGGCCTCTAGTGATCCACCCGCCTTGGCTTCCCAAAGTGCTGGGATTACAGGCGTGTGCCGCCATGCCCAGCTTATTTATTTATTTTTTGTATTTTTAGTAGAGATGGGGTTTCACCATGTTGGCCAGGCTGGTCTCAAACTCCTGGCCTCAAGTGATCAACCTGCCTCAGCCTCCCAAAGTGCTGGGATCACAGGTGTGAGCCACTGTGCGCAGCCGGACATACTTTTGATTGAGTAGTTTGATTTTTGGCAACCAAGCATAGGAAAATACAGTTTATGAAACCAATTAAATGGCCAAAGGTGCTTTTTGTTAAGATTTAATTTTGTTTTTGTTGTTTGAGACAGCATTACTTTGTCACCCAGTCTGGAGTATTACTCTGTCACTCAGGCTGGAGTGCAGTGGCATGATCATGACTCACTGCAACCTTTGCCTTCTGGTCTCAAGCAATCCTCCCACCTCAGCCTCCAGAGTAGCTGGGACTACAGATGTGCCACCACGCCCAGCTAATTTTTGGGTTTATTGTAGAGACAGGGTTTTGCTGCCAGGTTGTCCAGTCTGGTCTCGAACTCCGGACTCAAAGTGATCTGTCTGCCTTAGCCTCCCAAAGTGCTGGGATTACAGGCGTGACTGCTGTACCTGGGCTTGTAGCATTTAATTTAAAAATTAAATTAATACTATGTGTGTGATCAAAAATGCAAAAGATGGCCAAGCTCAGTGGCTCACACCTGTAATCCTGGCATTTTGGGAGGCTGAGGTGGGCAGATGGCTTGAGTCCAGTAGTTTGAGACCAGCCTGGCTAATATGGTGAAACCCTGTCTCTACGAAAAAAAAAAATACAAAAATTAGCCAGGCACAATGGTGCACACCTGTAGTCTCAGCTACTTGGGAGGCTGAGGCGGGAGAATCGCTTGAACCCAGGAGGTGGAGGTTGCAGTGAGTCAAGGCACTCCAGTCTTCATGATGGAAGTGAAACCCTGTCTAAAAAAAAAAAAAAAAAAAAAAAAAAAGTCAAATTGCAACTCTATGACCCCTCAGTCACTTACCCTCAAACAGGGAGTGTCCAGGGTGGATCATTAGTCTCAGTTGTCCTGAGAGGTAAATGGGTTATGTTTTTTATTAGCCCCTTGTGAATTTGGTTGACAGGAGTCATGCCTTTAGCATTTGATGAATTGATAAATCTGAGTTTCTAAAGCTACAAGTACAAAGAGCAGATCCTGGGCTTTTGGTAGGAGATAGCTCTTGAGGTCAGACACCAGCCTGCCA